TGCCCCCCCCCCCCAAATCTCCCGAGGTGCCGAGGTGGCGCTTGTTTTCTCACCGATGAATTTCTTATGATGATGGGGTTCGTCTGTCGGATGAGTTATTTTTGTGCCAACAAACGTAGGTTGACATTCTTGCTCGAAGGAAGACACCTTCTATTGTTCAGGTCCGAAGTGTGTAGGCTAGGCCTGTACGGCGTAGGCGGAGCAGCTTCGGAGGGTTTCAAGGTTGTTGGAGGCGTTGGAGGGACAGACAGTTTTTCCCGCCCAACCCCGCGCACGGGGCACCCGCGCCGAAGAACACAGCCTTTCGCCGCCGTGCAAACTCGCCCACGCCACGCAAGTGGCACAGTTTTTGACGAATCACCCTAATCGGGGCTGTACCGTTGTCTTCGTCTTGTTTGGGGGGAACACAGCCGCTGCATTCGAACTACCATTTCTGGGCGGAGAAGCAGACGGTGCTTCACGACCCGGACGCGCATCCCGCGCCCCCGTACTTCGCGAGGGAGTTCCCAACCTGCTGCGTTGGCATCGACGTGGAACCACCAGGGGGGGGGATGGTACCGTTGCCCCCCCCCGCCGCCGGGGGTGATCCGCAGCCACTATCTCCACCACCACTCACGCCCAAGCCGGCGCCTCCTACTGCGGCCGAGGGGGAGAGGGCGGTCTGATGCCACACACACACACACCCCGCGCTCCAGGGATCTTCAGCGGTCCGTGCAGACTGGGGTTTGGGGGGAAGGTGCCAAGAAATGTTCTCTAATATAAAATGCGCACAAGCCATCCTCAGCAGATGCTTCCCTGGGGGGCACCGTGTTTTTTATCACATTCTGGGACGTGCTTCTGTCCGAGTGGGCAGAGTCGCACCAAGCAATGAGGAGCGGGAGGGGGAAGGAGCGAGGCCTTTGCTCTTTGCCTGCTGGACACCAATCGCGCAAGATCGGATAAATGGGCTGTCGGGAGAGGGGGGGGTAAGAGCGAGGCCCATTGCTCTTTGCCTGCTGGACACCGATCGCGCAAGTTCGGATAAATGGGCTNGGGGGGGGGGGGGGGGGGGGGGGGGGGGGGGGGGGGGGGGGGGGGGGGGGGGGGGGGGGGGGGGGTAAGAGCGAGGCCTGTTGCTATTTGCCTGCTGAACACCAAATCGCCCCCAAGTTCGCTTGCTTTGTAGGATAGCCATCCGTTACAAGGCGGGTGGTGGGTGTCGAAGCAACGCATACTCCCGAGGCAGTGCGTCTAGGCGCGGACGTAATTCCACTGTTGTTATTTTTCTCGCGTGCCTTCTTCTGTGGTTCATGACGGTGTGCGTGTGCGTGTGTGTAAATTTCTGTACATTTTTCAGTCGATCGCTTGGTTCTAGAGTTAGCAGTGAGCGGCTGGCGGATGGTCCGGTCCGAGACTCCCACACGCTCATGGTGGAGCGTTGCTCGTTGCCATTTTTTTTTGTTTGCCTTTAGAACACCGGACGTGTCCAATTGGCTGTCGCCAAGTTGGAATGTCTGTTTCTTTTGGTGAGACAAAGCAGGCCAGGCCTCGCTGTGCACGTGCTTTTTTTTGTGTTGCGGGGCAGGCCCGCCGAATCGTTCGTATGTTAGAGCTACCCAACGGCTGTATTCATCTCTCGTGTGTGTGTTTTTCCTGAACTTGCGTCTAAACAGATAACAACTGGCTCACGTATTTGCGTCTAAATAGATCATCGGGGGGCGCACATGCGTATCCTAGAAGGGCCCAGCCGCTGGATTCGGGCGTGTAGTTGCATGGCATCGACGGCCGCAAGACTCCAGTCTCACTAAGTTAGCGTCCAGAGCTCTGAGCGAGAGAGAGCGCGTATGATGTTGAATAGCATCGACCGCGCTAAACTGGCTGACTAATAAAAAAACGTCAGTCTTACGTGTTGCGGGTAAAATTCATGGCCTTCGGCGGGGGCTGGGAAAAGTGTTCTGAGATCGGGGCGTCATCGTCCAGGATTGATTCCAATAAAAGGAGTGCCGTAGCCTGACCTGGGTTCAAGGGTAATGCTTGGCTGTGCGATGAAAGGAGACAAAATATATGAAGCCGCTTTTCTGGTGGCTGGTTGTCGTATTATTTGGTAAAATAAATACACGCACGGAAAGGCTACCCGTTCGAGATATGCCCACAGTCCAAGGGGATGTGGTGGAGTCTCTTCAGTGAGTGTTGGACGCTTTGCTGTCTTCTTTTGGTGTTCTTGGGCTCCGGTCGTAACAGGCAGAAAATAAGAGAAACCGCTATATATTGAGCTATTGAACGAGTACAAGTGGCGATTGTGTTGCGTTGTCTTCTTTTGGCGTTCTTGGGCTTCGCTCCTTCCTTACAGGACGCACTCCGACGGACCCCGGTAAAGTCGACCCCTGGACTTGACTAGCCTCAACGTTTTAGGCAGAGCGTTTTTTTCCGAAGTTTTCTGGTGTTCTTCCAAATTTGGGAACTTTGCGAAGCGACTTCGAAAGAAACAAAATCTAAAAATTTGCAACTTTCCAAAAGTTTGCAAGCTCCAGTAGTTCCCAGACATTCTGGGACTTACGCATCATCCACAACTTTATGGATGGGAAAAATTCCAATAATTTCATGACGTCCGACTTTTTGGGAATGACAAACTTGGGAAAATCAACCATGAACAAAACACCCCCAAAGGTAGATGGGTGATTTGTTCTGACTCGCGCCGCACGTGTGTGGGAGGGGGGGGAACAGGAGATGACGAGACGGCCCCTGAAGATGCTGGTTGGCGCAACGGGACTGATGTACTATCAATACCCACACCAGACCAACGACGCTCACTCGTTCGTGAGAGGTTCTTCACGCTCTCTCTTTCTCGACCTTAAGGTGTTGCTATTGGATCTAACTTCGCACGAGAGAGAATATCTAAAAGGTTTTTCCTTTTGCGTAAATTACCCTGCTCAAACAGAGCTAGCTGCCTCCAATCCGAGGTTCGCTTTCCTTTGAACGTGCGTGTGTGCGTGGTTACGACGAACGACGTGTTGTCGAAATCAAACGGCACAAGATTTGCGCTAACAGCCGGCGCGCGGCCTTTTTACCAGGCCGTTGCCGAAGTACTTACTTGCGGAATTCGCCGAGACTATAACATGAGTGGTCATCATGTTCATCATCACTGGGCTTCTCAATCAACACTTTGCACACACCCCCACTTGATTGACTTGTTGTCGGATCGGCTTTTTTTTGCCTGTATGTCATTCAATCCCTGCTACCTGTTTGCATGGCTCATAAGTAAGGACAATAATTAGAAGGTACGAGCGGAGATCGTAACGGTTTTTGACGTGAACACAACAACGACCACAACAGCAAAAATCAGCGACACAGAATGACTGTGAAAACAAATCATCAATGAATGTCTGAATGTACTTACTTGTTTTTGCAGCACCAAAACAAAGAGGAGGAAGCGGGTACGGTGTGGTTTGGTCGAGACGGCTACCGACACCCTGCAGTGTGCTGATTCATCTGAACCGCGCGAATCTACCTCTACACCGCCCGCCGCAACTGGTGTTCGTTGTTTTTACTCTGTTGTTGTTGTTGTTGTTGTTGTTGTTGTTGTTGTTGTTGTTGTTGTTGTTGTTGTTGTTGTTGTTGTTGTTGTTGTTGTTGTTGTTGCTGCTGCTGCTGTTCTTGTTTTCGCGTAGGGGAACGGTTCGGCCTCTCTTCACGGACCTAGATAGAGCACATCCTTCCGCGTCCTGACCCTAGCAGAGTAACCACAAGGTGACGAGTCCTTGTCTGAATTCATTCACAACTGATTCAGACAGCAGCAGCACGCTTGCAAGCGGCTTGTTCAGGGACGGACGCCACAGCCGCACGGCGGCATCATGGGTAGAACTGAAGGAAGCGCAATCGTCGCCACACAGACAAATTTGAACATTTTATTGACACGGCACCGTAACGTTATCACCGGAAGACAAGAAAAAAAAGCCCCCCCAAAAAGCACTTCATGTCCCACAGCGAAATACATACCCAAGAAGGACAACCACAGCGAGCAGAAATCGCATGTGAGATCGATCATGGTTTTCCGCTACACGCACGCCATTGTATACACACCAAATCGTTTGTACAGAACAGCTTCAATTAGCCCATGCGAGTATCTTGCTGCCTCCACCATTGGTCGCAAACATCGCGGCGCACAGCCAGCCATGCTAGGAACGCAACAAAGATTAAGTATCGCGGCACACAGCCAGCAGCCATCCATACGAATGCAACAAAGATAAATTACTCTCTCTCGCCCACTCCACCCCGCTTCAACGCTTCAACCACAAGCAAGCCCCCTTCCATGGCCATCAAGGGCCATGGGGCCGGGTAACAAGGACCTTTGAATCGATACTCAATTTGGTACAGCCCCCGTTCCCCCCTCTTTACCACGACAATGAAGGTATCGGAAAAACAGCGGAACATCAATGTATAGATTCATACATTCCACCGAAGACAAGATGCAAAACCCTCCCATCTTAAAGATAAGTATGGGGTGGGGGTGTAAGTTGGGGTGGGATGAGGGGAAGTGAATAAATGTGTATGATTTTACACCATAATACACGCTAGTCTAATAACCAAAGAAAGCGCATCGTACGTACACACCAAGACAAACGCACGGAAAAACGTATTTCTTCTTCCCAGATCCACCCCTCTCTCTGGGATATCCAAACATGGAACGGGCGGAGGAATAATGCCACACTACTAAACGCAAGAAGGTGTAACATGTTCGTTTTTCATCAGGTTGACTCCCGATGCATGCTCTCGCACGAACTCACTCGAACGCTACTACTATCCCAAAACAAACCCCAAACGCCGGGGACAAAACAAACTGCGTACAAGTGGAACGTACCACAAAATTGCGTGTGAATTGATCAGGACAAAACGCTGCAAAAATCATCGTATCTATAACTGCTTCCGGGGTCCGGATACGGTAAAAAGAACGGTCGGAAGGAGTCCAACCAGAGCTTTACTACATACTCCACAACTGTCGGAACGATAAATTGGATGCTGACTGCGCACAAAGCGTCGCCAAAAAGAAAAAAGAAACGCAAGCCTTACCCCCCCACGCACCACCACCGCTACCACAACCAAGATCACCATCATACACTATTTTCTCAACTGGTCCATACCCAGAAGAAACGCACGCCAAACGTATGTACTACCTGTAGGACATCAAGGGGAACAAGAGAACACTAAAATTATTCAAAATTCTCGCCGCGCTGACACTACAAAAAGCGGCAGAGACAATGGAAAAAGGGTGGGGCATTTGGCACCACAACTTCAACTCCCGCCCACACTCAGGAGTTGTGCTCAACAAACCATGACAGGTACACAGCAGTTATTATAGTTGTGGATCAATTGGCCGGCTATCTGATTTCCTCTTGTGGCCTAGACACGCCGTTCTCCAGGCGCGAAGGAAATGGTTGCAAACGCCCTCCCCGCTAACGCCGACCCTTCCCCGGCGTCCTAGACGTTGCGGCTGGCGGTGGCGGCGCGACCGCCGGTGGACACCGGCAGGGTAGTAGTAAGCAGCGCCGAACCGCACGTCGTGCGCGTTAGCGCCGGCGGCGACGGCCGCTGCGAAAAGACTTTCAGCAAGCTCTGCCGGGTGCCCAGGCCGGCGAAGGGCGCCGACGGTGATGACGGCCGCATTGCCATGTTGCAACCCCACCCCTCTTGATCGATTTTCTCCGCCGCTGTCGCCATCATCACCGCCGGCAAGGCCAGCGGGGAGGGGGACACCCGGGCAATCTTCTTGGCTGGTCTCCCTCCTCCGCCGCCGCCGCCGTTGTCGTCGCCGTCGCCCCTGGCGCCGTCCGTCAGGAGAATACTTCCGAGGGCGTTCATCTCCCGGGAGAACGACAACAACTCCTCCTTCTGTTCTGCGTGGTCCTCCAACACGAATCCGCTCTTCTTGTTGCTCTCGCGTGGTGCCGCCTTCGCCACCACGGCCAGCCCCCTCTGCTCCTCCTCCTCCTCCTCCTCCTCCGGCGTTTTCCGCTTCTTGGAGCGGCGGCGCCTAACGCGAATCGGGGACTGTTCGATAGCGGTGAAGGTGGTCGCCGACGAAGAAACTATCCCCGCCGCCGCCGCCGCCGGCACCGGCCCCTCTGTTCTAGCTGCGTGCGCCGCCACGACGGCAGCCGTGGGAGAGGCGGCGGCAGCTGCGGCCACCGCTTCAGACACGTTCAACAACAATAGCTGACGTTCTTGTTCAAGGTGGCGGCCCAAACCACCGCTACCGCCCACGGTCGTGGCGGGGGTGACGGTGTTCGTTGCGGTAATCGTCGCTGCGCCACCACTACCGCCATTGGGGTGAGGAAAGGACGCGGGGTCTTGGTCGGCGTCCGCTGCGGTAGGAGTTACCGGCGCCGGTTGTCGCTGCTGCCACCGCTGCTGCTGCTGCGGTGGCGGCGAACCAACTTCTTCGCCGTCGGAGGGCGCGAGGGTACAAGGCCAGGAAGGAGTGGTATTCGAAGCACCTGGCTGTCCGCCGCGCAACGAACGCGTGGTGGGCGGCGTGGTCGGGGGGGGGGACACCCAGCGAGATGCAAGGACTTCCGCGGCGGTCGGGCGTTTCCTAGGATCCAGAGAGAGCAGTCTTGAGAGCAGTGACCTAAGGCCTGATTATTTAGGAGATTGTAACGGAGGAGAATGGGGCAGGGAGGAAGGAACGGGATAAGTTGGGGATTCTTCGACAATATACATCCCATCAAAGGAAGAGTACCCATGTTCGAGATTTAGACACAGAAGCTTCATTCTGTATTGCCGTTACGTAACACATCCCGTTCGACTAGTCGTGGTTATATCTCGAATGGATAGTCTTTCTAGCTTGTATTTAGTTTTCCCTGGTAACAATACTTCCTCTGTATCATAAGTTAGGGTACCTAAATGCAATAGATTGTCTGGGTGCAACCGTGTTAGTGATGGTAGCATATTCGGGTTTGTTTGTAAGAAAGATATAACAAAGAAGAAGCGATAGAAAAAAAAAAAAAAGAACATCTATTTCTGTACCTAATATTGGTCAAAATATATATTGGCCTGTTTTGGGAATGTTTTTGAGAAAATATTTTTGAATTTTTTTTGAGAATTCTCGACAAAATACAAAATTCTCAAAACCATATAATATTAGTGCCCTACCGGCCCACTACTCACTCTAGCGATGGAATCGCCCCCCAGCACACCACCTCGCAAAAGGGGCACCGAAGTATCGGTTGGTAGGCGCTATGCCATGGCGGTAGAAATTTCGATGGGCATTCAGCCGGGGTTGTCAAGGATTCCCCCCCAAGTGTCTTGGTTTTAGTGTGGTTCACGACTATACTGCTTTTAGTGTAGGGGGCGCGACATGGATCGTTGAGCAGAGGGGGGGTTGGATGAGGGCCCTACTGTTGCTTGCTTTGCCCCGCAAGTGTCTTGGTTTTAGTGTGGTCCTCCCAAGTGTCTTGTTGTTTTCAGCGTCGGGGCCACTATTATGCTGTTTTTAGTATAGGGACGCGTCATGGATCGTTGAGTAGAGGGGGGGCTAGGTTTAGGGTCAGGGATAATTCTTGATATTTTTGACTTGTTTTTGTCATTGCTCCACCCCCCCCGCCTGGTCGGAGGGGGCAGAATACATGCAAATACGGCCTTTTTCAGGCCCACTGGTTTTTCCTCGGGCGCTCATGCACGCGGGGTGGCACATGCATAAAAAAAAAAAAGTTTCTTGCTAAAAAAACTCCGAAGATTTCAACAAAAAAATCGAAAAACAGATCGGACATAATAAGGGCCCGTACAAATGTAGGTACCCTAACTTATGATACAGAGGAAGTACACGTTCTATCCCTGCTTGTCAATTATCTATCTATCAACGCGTTGAACGCGTGGATGGGCCGAGCAGCATGTTGTGACACATGAAGAAACCTCCAACTCACAGCAGGTAGTAAGTAAGCTGGCCCTTCTTTTCGTCCAGAACGAGAAAATATTGAGGAGGCTGGAGACACGCATGCATGATGCATGCGTGTTGCAGGCAGGTACACCAGGCAGGTCGGAAGGTGATACATACACATCACATGTATTCGAGAAATAACTTGCAAATGATGCTTAATATATTGTATTATGAGCGTGTGCCGACCGGCGCACGACAACATTTATTTGCCACAGCAACGTTAAACCGCACAATAATATACGTAGTAGACTAGAGTACCTGGAGCACGTACGATAAGCTCTTGGGGAGGAGCTGCGCGTGCGTGCTCATATTTATGTACGGACGGTTTTGACGTTCACTTGAGAATTGTTCACACCGCTCGCCGGTATCTGCACGTACGTGCCAGCTATCTACGGACAGTATCGATAACGTTCTGCGAGGTGGTCCATGTGGTGGCTTTTGTTTTGAGGGTGGGCATGCATGGGGGGTGTTGTATCATGCATGCGTGTTTTTTCACGAACGAGAATGACAATGTGTCACCGCGAGTCAGAACGTATCACGCGGGACGGGGATACGCTGCAAGGTCTAAGCTAGCTCTGTCGACACAGTAAGCACGGCATATATTTTCTGTAGAGATCCTCCTCCACATCCGGCACAAAAGGCTGCAGCATTAGCAGATAGGCGCGCGTTTTTCAGCACTTCAGCATGGAGCCGCAAGTACACACAAACAAACCGATTCGAAAAACAAGAAGACACGAAAAAACAAATACTTCGTATTATTTTGGGAATAATTTTCAAGCACCGAAAATATCTGATCGGAGCGTGCGTTTCACGACCCTTGCTAGCGGCTAGTCTACATGTATACACACGGAGTGTAGCATGCAAGCGCGTGAATCACCCAGAATATTCACATTGTAAATAACGCTCAACCCTCCCCGCCTCCACCACCCTGCTTGCGTTGGTCACTGCTCGTAAGCATTGCATACGATCTTTGTGCGAGCGAGAGAAGAAAAAAAAGAATAATGGATACGTGTACATCGTCTAGATAGATTAGACTGCTGTGGCATGGAGTGGTGCTTTGACTTTCACACCTTCACGGAGGTTCTTTCGTTCTCCATTTTTTTTTTTCTTATCTCTATCATAGAAAAGAGTCAGAGACAGATTAACAATGGAATCATAGCGTCAGAGAAAACTTCCTGTGTGTCTACGATTTCCCAGACAGCATATAGGGACATCTCCCCTGTGGATAACAGGCTCAACAAATCAGTTTGGTAGCTGTCTTGTGTGTCTCATATATGTTATGTTGGGAAGGTGCAGACGAAAGGTGTTGGGTACTTTTCGCTTTTTTTCCCAGCAAGTAGCTATGAGTCTCCCAAATCTCCCGTCTGTCGCGTACAACGTCAGTGAATGCTGCTGCTGCTGCTGCTGCTGCTGCTGCTGCTGCTGCTGCTGCCCGCACCTGGTGAAAAGCCCACGGGCAGCGAGGCAGCCGCGCCCTGTCTCACGAACGTTCGGAACTCCTCGGATCGATCAACGCAAGCCAGCTCCCAGGGGTGGCACCCCGCCATGGCCGACCAGATCGACACTCCCAGAGCCCACATGTCGGCAGCAAATGGATCCCACCGCCCCCGTTCCTGCTCTCGTTGCTGTTGTTGCTGCTGGGAGTGAGAAGTTGTTGCCCCTGCTGTCTTCCAGCCGCTACTGCTGCTGCTGCTGCTGCTGCTGCTGCCGCGGCGGATGGCCTCCGGCGGAGCGTACATGACGGATCCCACAAAAGAAGAAGATGTGATGGAGGCGTCGACATAAAGATCATCATTCCCCCTGATGCTGCTCCCGCGCTTGCTCTTCTTGGGGCGGCTGCCCGCCTCCTCCTCCTCTTGCTGAATCGGGCTTGGCGCGATACGCACAACGCTCCCGACGTCTCCCAGCTTCGCGACACCTTCCCTTGACACGAAGATATTCTCGAGCTTCACGTCCTGGTGCGCGATACCCTGCCCGTGGAGGTGGGCTAGCGCGGACGCTAGGTGCCCGGCAAACGTCGAGCCCCGCGCGTCCCCCAGAGCGCCCGTTTCGCACACGAGATCCAACATGTCTGTTTCGCAGAGCTCCATCTGGACGAAGCACCGGCTGTTGGTATCGTCCCACCAAGACTCCCGGGGGAAGACGACGTTCGGGTGCACCAGCTTGGGCCACAGCCCCCGACTCGCGCGGCAGCGCTCGTACGCCCGCCCGCCGCTCACTACCTTGATGGCTGATGATCGCTGTTGTCTTCTGCTCTCGAGACCCTGCTGGTGCTGCTGGTGCTGCTGCGGCTGCTGATGTTGCAGTTTTCGGCGGGTTGGGATCGCGAGATACACCGAACCCTCCGCGCCCTGGCCAAGCAGCTCCTTGAACACGAAGCGGCCGTCCGGGGTGCCTCGTTCGGGCGGTGGCGGTGGTCGCAGGCCTGCCTCAAGATCGATCGTCAAGGCCATCTTGGCTACGAAGGTGTGCGCACAATCAACAGCAGGACGAAGATAATGATGGTTGCGTGATGATCCCGCTGCTGTGTCCACCGGCAGCAGGCCTTTTTTTTTTTGTCTCGGGATTCAACCAATCAAGACCCTCCCGTCCAACGCCGTAACGCCGCTGTCCGCTGTCCTTCCGTAGACGTTCTCGCAGCGCGGCCTCTCGAAACCGGGATCCTCGGATGCGGAAGGTGGGTGGTGTAAGGCAGGTGGTGTGAAGATGAGAAATGACCAGAGGGCCACAGGGGAAAAAAATATTTTTTGCCGTTTGCATATCCTGAGGTGGCAGTTTCGCCGATGCTGCTGCTGCTGCCGCTGAACTGCCGCTGCTGCTACACCAAAGGAAAAGAATGGCTGGCTGCGGACACCCTGCCCCGCCGCACCAACTGAATCGAGTATTCTTAGAGGGTTGCGGTTTAGACGGGGAGACCACAAAGACCACACTCTTCATGATCGTTTGCACGAACCAAACAAATTGCAAAGTTTACGCGTTGGTTTCATGACAAAAAAAGTCTAAATGATAGTATGTTGTGTGTACATGTACGCTGCTGCGGTTGTTTGTACGTTACACCTAGACTGACTATTGGTACTTTTTTGCCACGTTTATAATTTTTGTCGTTCAGGTTCGTTTCCTACCCAAACCTTCTCCCTCTACGTAGTACGATCTTTCCGCGCGCGCCCAAACTGCATACTACTGCTGCTGCAGCAAACGTATGGTTATGCGTAATACCTGCGTGCGAGTGTGCCGGTAGTAACTTGTAAGTACAGTAATAAATAGTGCCATGTCCATACTTCGTAGCTCGTGAAAGGGAGTCAGGGCAGAAAGAGGCGTCGCATTACTTCGCCTTTTTTCGCTTCGCGTTCTTTTTGGTGTGGTTGGGGTAGTTCCAAAGTACGAATACACAAGCTTGATACCCAGATCACATAGTCTACAACTGCATGCTATTTTCTTCTGTGCAAATTGGTCCATTCAAAGTCTACATACATACATCATACGTACGTACTCCGTATTCGGGGCAGGTCGCTAAAAAATGTTAACCGAACTGTCCTTCCTCAGACAATAACTGCCAACGATTAGATAGCAGCTAGACTATACGGGGCAGCATACGGGGTGCCGCGGTGCGACGTGATTTTGTGGTCGGTAAACAGGGCATATCGCCATACAGGGGGTCGCTAAACCGAGACCCACCATGTACATTGGACGATATTAAGCCCGAATCGCCCCAAACAAAGCGAACTTTGTTGGGAGCCTAAAAATTTTGTCATTGAGGGGCGGGCTTCATGGGGAACAACAACATGTAGATTGGACGATGTTAAGCCCGCATCGCCCCAAACAAAGCGAACTTTGTTGGGTGTAGTAGCCTAGTTTTGTCATTAAGGGGCGGGCTTCATGGGGAACAACAACACGTGGTCATTCTTTGTAGCGCGCTACCTGTGCCAGTCGGTCTCGGGTCTTTTCTATTTCATACCCCTATGGGAGGATTCAACCAGCCAGCTGGCTCGGTGGGGTGTGGTGGTCGGGACGAATCTCTTCCCTACAACGCTTTCTTGTGATCACTCGGTCGGTGGCTAGGTAGGGCACATCGGACGCACGCATCAGGACCAGAAGCGAGAGTAGAGTGCCGCGGGGCGGTAGTAGCGCGTTTGCCTCTGATATATATCTCTATACACTGCTGTTGTGTCTGTCACGACTAAAAACTAATGATGTTCTCGGTTCTAATTGTGTGGCCGCCCCTGTCGGCAGCAGGCTGGCGTCCATGACTCCGGGCATCATCAGCTCCGTTCACGCTGTTGTGTGGATTTTGCCATCCTCCCCCTCCAGCATAATTCACTTGTTGTACCCCCCCTCCGTGGTATCCGTTTAGAACTTGAGACCGTCGAGTAGGCAGCACCCCGGCCGTTTCCATAGAACATGGATCCCGCGCATGAATATACATGCAGGCCGTCCCTACCCTTCTGCGACCATTGACAGTTGGTTGTAGATGCCGATTATTATGTCGATATTTCCTGCGGCACCCGAAGTTGTCCAAACTGTGGTTAAAGTCTGCATATGTCAATCTAGGTAGGCATCACGAAGGAATTGTCTAGGTGGCCCATACATGCTCGTCCTGTATGCATGCGGACCTCATCACACATGACGGGACAAGACTTGGCATCCCAACAGACGAGGTCGTTGTGTTGCACGGTGCAAGGAGCTTCGGAGCACTTTGTTATGACTTTACATCATTGACTTCCGTCTCACTACACTACTGTGTTCGTTTGTGTATTTACCGACCCTCGCTGCGTAGACGGCTTCTCCTCCAGAAGTGCCGAAGATGCTCACCAACTTCTTTTTCTTTCCAACCCAAATCTGCACCACAACTTTATTTTTGCAACAAATTCTTTTCAGAAGCGGGGTATGATGAGGGTACACCGAACACAGCAGCAGTTGGAATGACCGGAGGGCACGAGATGCCGAGTGCATGAACGGGAATGGATTGCGTCCGACTCCCACTCACTTTCGACGAAGCCCCTGCAGCGAGGCACAGGTATGTATGCGCGCTTCCTGCAGTTGACCTACCGCGAGTGATTCGCTTCGGTTAACCCTAATGTTCTGGGACTGCCGCTCTCGATTTCCAAGGATTTTCCTAGCGGCAGCAGCTACAAATCTGTAGAACATCGTGGAAAGCGGAGAAGATGGCACCCCTACTACAGACCCATTGTCAGATCTCAATAGATCCAAATCAAGATTGTTCCAACACCAAAAATGGTGGTTTTGAAAAAACTTGTCGTGAAGGGCTTTCCGTCGACATGTGTGGCTCTTTCCGCACGCCTTTGGCTGTGGAGCAATCGAGCTTCGGAAGTTTGTCTCAGAGGGGTGCCGTTCTCTCCGCGTCTTACGGTACATCCGTTTAACCAATCCACTGGCAGCCAATGGGTGGTGACCGTGGCTTATTTCTTTCTTTGCCGGTTTTTCGCACAGGTGCGTGTATTGGAAGAGGTCACGGACTGCTCGCTCAGCTTCGTTCAATCTTGACCGTTGTGGTTGATTCTCTTTATCCTACAACCTTTGGCGCAACATAAAAGCGCAATATACGCGCGCACCCAAAGCGCCCGGTGCTTCGTTGGGTCCCTTCTCGCTGTAGCCATCTCCTAAAAACACAAAATCACAGACAGATACCCGTCCAAGCGTTCCCCCCTCGTCACGTTGGTGCGCCAATCCCAGTCAACACCAACACGGATTTATGTAAACTCACACATACATATCCCTCTGAAGAGAGCCAACGCTTGTGTCGACAAAAACAACACGGAGAACATACACGACCACAAACGCCACCACCTCCATCACCACGCCAAGCTCCGAATCACGGTACGTAGTACTTTCTACCTAGCCCTTCAGCCGCTTGATGCTCCCGGCTACGACAATCACCACCACAACGCGACAAAAATAGTAACGCTTCTTTCTCGCTTACACCACCAAGCCCCGGAGCAACTCGCTGGGTTCTCCATCCCTCCCCTCCCCCCCTGCCGAAGACGCCTCCTTCGGCTTGACAAATAGCGCCTCCGCCGAGGAAAAGGTGACAGTCCCGTCAAGGCTCTTGAGCCTGCCGGTCACGTAGAGCTTGCGTCCCTCCTTTCTGTCCACGGTGATGTCTACGACCGCCGTCGTGAGGCACGGCAGCGGCGCCTTGAAATCCACCTGGGGGGGTGGGGGGGGTGGGGGGGTATCGCACATCATGCTGCTGGACATTCATTGGTGTTGCGTACGATGCAACGGACGGGCGGGAATAGAGAGGTATGACTCCCAAGAAGAAGCTACGGCTGTCTTGAGGGAAGGGCAGCACGCCGGAAGAACGCGCATCTGAAATCACACACAAGCCGATAGGACACAGAAGAACGAAGACCGCAGACCGAGGGGCTGCTCCGGCACGGACCCGGCAAGGCACCGAAAAGTATGCCAGCCCGTGTCTCACCATCGATCTATCTTCCAAAGTGTGGCGCAGAACATACAAGTCTACCAACAAGACGATTGATATCGAAAAAGCGACACTCCTGCAATTCTTCTTTCGTCGACAACCTGCACGATGATTGGCCGAACATGGTGAGTGACGTCCGCTCGCCGCGCGCGGTGAGGCACAAATGGTGAGTCACAGAAACGGCCGTGTCGCACAGGAGACGTTTTTATCTCCCGCTCGTCGACAAACCCACCGGATGCGTTTTCGTCTCCCCCTAGTGGCCAATGGCCTAAAGAACAGCTACGGTACGCAGAGCATCAGTACGCCCCCACCCCATCGCCTACATAATCTCCCTGACAGAGGCATATATAACGCCAGGGTATCCACCATCATCACATGTTTCTGAGCGCATGGTTCAAATTCTCGGCATCAACCAACCTTGATGTACGCCGTCAACACGGCGCCAGTGTTCTGCAAGAACAGCGCCATTCCGAAGAGGTTGTCGAACGTCAGGGCCGTCACTCCACCGTGAACGATCTNGGGGGGGGGGGGGGGGGGGGGGGGGGGGGGGGGGGGGGGGGGGGGGGGGGGGGGGGGGGGGGGGGGGGGGGGGGGGGGGGGGGGGGGGGGGGCGTACTCTTATGTTTTGCATGCCTTAGCGGTTAGACCATTGACCACGCGTCCTCAAAAAATTGTGCCGATGGAGGGGTGTATTGTATTACGAGGAGCATGTGCTATGACTTTATGGCGACTACCCGTGAGTACGGTAGGAGAGCAGCAGAGAAAGGCTTAATAACCTCTGACAACACAGCAGCTCGTAGCTCGCCACTCTCGCGCACGCACGGGGTTGCACATTTTCATTTTCGTTGGACAGCCGGTTGAGGCGACCAACGCCAAAAAGCTAAGGACACACAAACGCACAAATACACCAACCTTTGGGTGCCCAGCGATAGACTTTCCGAATCGCACCACAGCTTCGATTCCCTCGTTATCCTTGTCCGGTTTGTTGAGCACAAACGGGCAGCTGATGCCATTGTCGTCTGGAGAACAAGCGAAAGAAAGACGCGCCAAAGGGGTTGCGGCAGAAATACTGTTTTTTTACACATCCAGAGGTGTCGGATGCCCAACCAAGCTACACGAGGTCTTCATGCAAGCAGACAAGCAGGAGGTGAAAGAGGTGGGAGGGAGGTCATGTACGGATCGTGTCTGAGCGATGCCCGAACACTCGGAACTCTTCTTGGTGTCGGTTCCACCTCCGTTCTCTCTTATTCCCCTTCTTTGTCATTCCTCCCTTCTCTCTTCGCTTGCTCCCTCTCCCCCCTCAGGGTCTCCGTACGCCATTACAACCCGTCCCCGTCCTGCCAATTTTGTTTAAACAGACCCCCCACAGTCCAACTCACAGTTCACAGATACCCCCTTCGACAATGAAACGCTCTCCACCGTTGTGGAGATCGCAAAAGACTGCTCGTGGAATGCACACATGTCCAAGGTAGCGGAAAAGGGCAAAGCACGAGCAGGGAAGCTGCACCCAATACTCGCAAACCGGCACCTCGATACACGCATCAAATTGACGGTTTTGAAGAGCGTAATCGTACCGCCGCTAGAGTACGCCGGAGAAGTATGGGAA